AGAAGATAGTTTATCTAGACATGTAATAATAGAAAAAAGCCTTAGGACAATATAGTAAACCCACCACATGAAATAAAGAGAAGCATCATGCAAGCACGCGGTTATTAAACCGAGTGCACCGTACCTACCATCGTTGTGCAAGTTCTGCCTGCGTTCTCTTCAGGACCCGTCGACGCTTTGGTGTTGGACCCGAGTGGACTTGCTCATGACTTACTAGGACTGCCGGACTCAAGCACTCGCGACCGCATGTGCTACAGCACCATGTGCTCAATGTCGATGCTGTACACCTCATGGGCGCTTGTCGTTTCCGCACTTGGCGCTTCTGCTCGGTACGAACGAGGGATTTCTCATACACCTCGGCAATGGCCTTTGTGATCAGCTCAACTCATGCACCCTGATTAATCGCTTTCCAACTCCATGAGCCACATAAAAATTAGAAGTTGTGAGGCGCATTTTGAGCATGTTCTGGTAACGATGCTGCGGTTTCCCCACGTGACGCTTCCCAGCACTCAGAAGATCGTTTACTAGCTGCTTCGTAGCCGCGTCGAATCCATACGCCGCACATGACCGAGCCATCTCAGGTGTCTCAGCAAACCTATGCAGTCCAACGCATAAATTCCACTTCGGCGAAACGTTTCCGTGTCTGCAACTCTGTCGCACCAAACAATGTGCAGAATCCGGCGCAAAAACTGATGATGGAACCACTCAAGATACCGCCCACCCCCGGTACATCGTCCACCATCCGCTGCCGTATAGAAGAACGGACAGCACCATGGATTTGTACACTATCATCTTCTCGCCAATGGTAAGCTGATGCTTGTTCCACACTCGGTACTCAAGCTTCCCGAGTGTTGCCGCTGCATTCGAGACGCGAATACGTAGCTCACTGTGAAGCTGCTTATCATCCGACATCACACTCCCAAGGTAGCAGAAGCGGGAGGTGGTTTCCAATACCTCAACACCAATGCTGATTCGCGGCAATATTGAAGCTTGCACATCCGGTGAAGGCTGAAAGAGACAGACAGTTTTGCTTGTGTTGACGGTGAGCCTAAATTTTGCCGCTGTCGAAGCCAGAGCGCTAGTCATGTGCTGAAACTCATCCGCGCTGTGTGCAAACAACGCACAGTTGTCAGTAAACATCAACGTACGGATAGTTGTCTCACAGACTATGGTTATCGCACCGAAACGACGGGTGGTTAGCAACCCACTATCAATACGGTGCTCCACACGAACACCGTAATCCCAAGCGGCATCAAACGCACATCATTGCATGAAGATAAATATTAAATTGGGCAGGAGCTAAGACAAGCCTAGCTTCACACTGGAGAAGGGCAACTTCGTCCGAGGTCTGTCTACTCAGCTTCCCCCTCGCCCGCATACCAATGTGCAGACATTCAATTAAACTTATAAATAGACATATGTGGGCAACCAAACTCAACCAACACCAGCCACAATGCCTCTTGATTCACTTATCAAATACCTTGGTGAAATCAACAGAAAGCTAGTACAACGACTGGTGTCTTTCTCCACACTTCTCCTGCAACTGGAGAACCACAATCACCATGTCTATGGTGCTGCGACCCGAACGGAATCAACATTGATCTGCAGCCACCTTTCCTTCAACGAAATGAGTGTCCGGGCGGTTAAGCTGGATTCGAGCAATCAACTTCCACTCACAACAGTAAGTTGATGCCACGATAAGTCGTGCAAAATTGCTTGCTCCCTTTGCCCCTGTACAGTGGAGACACAGCTGCATCCTTCAGCTCAGTAGGTTCCTCCTCCTCAATCCATACGTGTTGCACCAAGTGGTGCAGCGCAGTCACCAACGCGGGTCCGCCGTATTTCAATACTTCAGGCGGGATCCCCGTCGGCACGGACATACTTGCCGTTTCGTAGCAGAGCAAGTGTTCTCTGCGTACCATCTAGTGTCGGCATGTCCGCCAGGCTCATCTTCACATGCTGCTGCTTCAGGTCGTTTAATGTAGACCAGCCAATCTCTGAGCGGTTGTTTAAGAGACAGTCAAAGTGTTTTTGCCCGAAATGCATTATGTCTGCATTCTGTGTGCATGTAGCGCCTGAACTAACATCGATCAGTGTCCTCAGTTGCTCCAATCTCGGTCCATACACCGCATTCAAGGTGTCAAAGAACTCCTTGTGTTAGCTACCTCCGGCGTAGCATTCCATCTGCTTCGCCTTCTTCGTCCACCACGCATGTTTAATGCGACGGAGCTCTTGGGTCAGTCGTCATCGCGTGCTGCCAAATCTTCGTTTCTTCCTTACGTCACTGGGTTCTGCCACATGTGCAGCAAATGCTACCTTCTTCGACTCCAGTGCGCCATTAGTCGCGTTGTTCTCAGCAACCTAATCAGGCCGCTTCCAGTTTGCGCGCCCGATGGTCTCCTCGGCAACAGCTGTCACCTGGTCGCAAATGTGGTGCCACAGGTCGCCCAATGTGGCTATGTAGTCCACATCACACAGGCGTGCAGCCATCGCCTTCTCCAGCTCAGTACGTTTCACCACAGTACCGAGAGAGAGAATGTTAAATTTACGCCGATTCACCGCGAGAGTACAATACATCCATCTACGAAAATATGTGTACAGTTTGGTACGCACCAATTTATGATCAGTGCTACGCTCAGTTTCACGCAGTACACGTGTCATGCGCACTTCACGCATATCACGCTGACGTACGATGACATAGTCGAGCAGGTGAGCATGACCACTCCGTGGGTGCTTTCAAGTTGCTTCATCACTGGCACTCAGTGCAAACCGAGTGTTCGTGATCGTCAGGCCGTAAGTGGCACACAGTGAGAATAGCCTGTCTCCGTACCCATTCGCTGCATCAATGCCATGCGTACCGATGACATCTGTCCACACCGATGCATCACGCCCAACGCGCGCGTTGAAATCACCCAGCAGAAATAGTCGGTCGCTCCTCGGCACAGACTGTACCACAGAGGACAACTGAGTGTAGAATTGATCACGCATGTCATCAGAATTACTTATGGTCTGAGTGTACGTGCTTCTCAATGCAGCGAACTTACCTCTTCCGAGTCGTAGGCGAATATTCATCAGTAGCACGCTGATATCAGTCGGTTCACCCACTAGTTGGCTATGGAGGCGAACGGATATTTCAAATCCAACCCCATGTTCACGTGGTACTGTGGTGGCGTTGCCCACCCAGTAGAAGGCACAGCTAGCACCTGTTTCCTGCAACCTACCTTGTTCAGTGAGTCGGGTCTCACTGAGCGACAAACTAGCGATGTGGTAGTGCGCCAGTTCCATCGCAACCAGTGCAATGTGTCGGTCGGGGCGCTCACTCGAGCTCCGTTCCATAAGTGTGAGCACGTTCTTGCAGCCGATGTTGAGTGCTTTGCCAGCAGGCATACGGTTGCATTGGTGGGCAATCGCACGCGAGGTGACGGTGGTGCGTCGGAGGTTTGCTTGAGGGACTCCACCCGTAGCCTCTGGCTCACTGGCCTGACCCACAAGCCAGTGGATGATCTGGATGTTTGCGTAAGGGACTCCGCCTGGAGTCTTTGGCTCAATAGCCTTACCCGCAAGGCAGTGGGGAGCAGATCCAGCTCGAGAAGGTGAATGCGGTGACAGAGTGGGATCTGCTTGAGGTCCATCACACGCAGCCTTTGAGGTACCGGAACGATTCAAATATGTTTTGCGACCATAGTGGGGTGTGTATCTGTGACCACGGTCAGACGCAAGAGAATTTCGGCGTGTTTCTGACAATTTGACCATGGGTTGCCTGGCTTGAGGCGAGCAGTACCCAACCGATGCGCACCGGGATGGGCCCTCCCACCGTCAGAGACAATGCATGGCGCTCATGCAGTATACCAATCCTAAAGTTAGCTTATAATCCGTAGACCAGTTGTCTTTCATGATTAGGTTTTACGGGAAAAGGGCCATCGCCCAACTCCTAACCTCCGAATATGATGGACTAGAATACTGGCAGGGCACCAACAGCTGATAGGAGAACGACTCGGGTCCCTAGCCAAAGCCTTCGACCAAATTTACCCCCGAAAGGCAGCAGGTTTAGCATACGTTCAATTCACTGACTAATGCGGATTGACCTCCTGGATCTTATTAGGGAAAAGGGCGTAAACCAACTCTCACCCAGCGGTCGTCACGAGGAGGCGTCTAGCACATGAGCCCCTGGCACAACAGTAGAAGCGCTGGGTAGACCAACTGTCAGGACCTAGCCACTGCCAGCTTCAGGGCACCATAGGCTCTCTCGCCACAAATTCTATTACCATAGGTGATGTATTTGACTGACCCAAGCACAACTATAGTTCTGGAGGCATATCTAGCTTACTTTGTTTGGTGACGACAAAGTTTCCACGAATCACCTACACTCCGGCAGAGCACACACCCAGGGTGTAGAAGTACCAAAGTACTAACTGGGTCACTTGCTCTCCGGAACACGTGCTTCGGCAACATTGCTAATGACATCTCGATGCATTAGTTCTGAGATGAGATGTATGAGCTGACATGATGGTGAGCCCACCGGTATGTGCTTGTATAAACCTACCAGTATGATTTGAAATGCTGGAGGATAACTGGATCCAATCAAGAAGTAGTGGGTCGAACATGGTTCGAGAACAATCGGTTGGGTAATTTTAGTTTTGCTATTGGCATTTCCTTGGGTCACGCGAGTCCGAATATAGTCAAAAAAAGCATTTTATGGTGAAGGACAACGAAAATGAGGATAACGGTGACCCATCCTAGGATTATTACAGACACAGGCCGGGTGTCACCTCAGGTAGCACAATCAACGCAAAAGTTCTAAGCGCATACTTGTACATCGCATTGGCTAAACACATCTTGGCTGCAGTTCAGCTACAGTCCACCATGTTTTCTAGCTGGTACAGTTCCCATTTCCTATCTTTCTCGATCGGAAAGCAGTGTATGGCTTGATGAGTTTCATTGCTGAAGACTGTCGTTTTAGGTGCCTCACTGGAAAGTCATACTTTCACTTTTGCTCAAAACAGGTCGACCAAAAGTGGGGAAAAACACTTTCGCAAAACAATTGCGTATTCATTTTGGGGACGGCTTTCCACCTAGCGCCCGAATGCAGCTGGTGTCGGCAATAGTAGCCAACATAATGGATGCTGTCGTTCGTGTATTGAAAGTACTGCACAAACGTGGGACACAGTTTGAAGACACCTCACTGAGAGTAAGTCTTGTGACTTTACAATCATTCCATCTCGGTTTCGCATGACAATCACATTTTGCATTAAACGCTGGAGCAAATCTACGGCTTCATTTTATATACTTGAATTATCAGCTTCATATTAGGTCGTGCTTGTTACATTTCGTAAATAGGGAAATTTTCCCGGTTCAAGGTAACATGAACAGAATACTTACTGGCAAAATCTGTGACGTAATATTCGTATCTTAGGCCCTAGTATTACAATAGGTACGATGCATAAGGGTGAGAGGCAATGGGCATTTCTAAAGATGTCATCCACTTTGTGGATGGGGCCTAATTAAAGTAGTGAATAGATTTTCCATTTTTCCCACCCCAGTTTACTTAGTCGATCCAAGCCATTGTCTTTTTGATTGATGCGCAATGACATTAATAATGATTCCCACCGAAACTACACCGCACAGAATTTGTGTGTGGCGTAGTTGGCGAACGGGTTGTCCGCTCGTAAGTTTGTGCCTACTAGTTAATCCCTTTGGCCTCTTCGCTTGGCTTCGGAACATGTGCATAACGGAAGTTTACTGCTGCGGTATCAGACGTAAAACCGTTCAAGCATCACTAAGCTGCTGACACCGTTATGGTTTGTCCATATGTACAGCTACCTTCATCATTCCGATGCGATAAGTTGGGTTAGAAAGTATGATCGTGGGCCAATTTATTGTCTGGAAACTTATTTGGTAATAAAAGACCAGTAGGTGCTTGCGTCCTTGGAGCACGCTCATTCGTCTCTTAAACTTAAGTATCTTGCAACATCGAGCAACTTCACTCAGGTAAATTCCTTTCACGTTAGCCATTGGATCTCAATATACTACTTATAAACCATGCACTCAAGTCAAGCCGTTAGTAATTATAAGCGATGCAAACAATCCAATTGGGGTCGGTGATAAAGCGCTGGTCAATAATGAACTGCTTTGATCATTTTATTTCTTTGCAAAAGCGCCCAACTGTTGAAGGACGCGAAAAGCAATTCCAGTGAGGTTTGGCAAACTACGTCTGTTGCTAAGCCTCTTCGAAATCATCTCTTCTGGATCAGTGCCAATTCTATTCCACGACTTGAAAATTAGTAGGCATTCTTGTTATAAGTTAAAGGTTTGGAGTACCCGCCGTGTGAGTGGATTGCGACAACCAATCTTTATTAAGTCCTCGGCTTCTTTTGCAGGAGAACGGACCCGAAATGGCGGCTGCTGTGTTGCTCCTACAAAACAGTGACACTACCAGACTGGTTTCTACGTTTGAACTCATCATTTAGTGATGGTCTGAGCTGGGAGTGGAAATTGAGGCCTAATGGTCAACGACTGAGCCTTGCTCACCGGGTTACTGCGGTCCGTGGTCCGAACCTTTAATTTGGACTTTCTAACCAATGTGTTGAGGGTTTTTCACGGCAATGAGTAGTCTAATGATCAAAACGTCACTCGTTAATCGGTAAGACCCGAATTGCATTCCCAGATAAGGCTATCTATCTGATGAATGCAAACAAGGACGAAACAGTCAACTTTGGGGTGTTAGTATTAGGGGACGAAACACGGAAACCTTCGCCGGTTTCATTCCTGGAAAGTATATTTAATACCATTTAATTCCAATGCCCAGTGACTAGCAGATAAGACAACTGACGACCTCGATAGCCTACAAGTAGGCGGTTAGATATGGTGTGAATATTCAGGAATTCCTTGTCCAACTCTGGCGTGTTATTGGTGATGGAAATACATGTCTTTAGCTAGCTCACACCGTAAACTTGAAAATCTACTGATCACCTGTGTTCGTAAAGAGACCACTATTATTTTACAGTTCAGTAGTATCCACCAAAAACTCATAATTTCAGACAAAAATAGGAGACATTGCTGGTAGCACGCGGATAGACCTTGCCTTCTGCGAAGCCGATGCATGCTCAGACCACTATTATTTTACAGTTCAGTAGTATCCACTAAAAACTCATAATTTCAGACAAAAATAGGAGACATTGCTGGTAGCACGCGGATAGACCTTGCCTTCTGCGAAGCCGATGCATGCTCCTTCACCGTGTATCACTCATCGGCAACTAAAGCTCAAGTTGCGTCATTTCGCATTGTTCATTGGTTACTGGCACACCATGAATCACTGATGGAAGTCTGGATTATGAACATACGTTGGATGACAGATTAGTGTCATGATTAAAGAAGCAATGGAAACCACCCACGAGTACTGACATAATACCATTCGACCTTCATCACCACCTTGACTCATGACAACAGGTACTAGTCGGACTCGCATCTCATCCTCCATTGTTGGTTCTGATCGTACCCGAGTCACACGATCGGTTCAGTTTCTGAGCTGACATCCCCCTGTTCCAAGGTTTTTGTCACTGATTGCCGTTCCCTACTCACTCGTGTCATTGCACTCGGTGGATAGCTTCTTTGTTAGATGCAATCGTCCGGTAGAGTTTGCAGGACCGCAATCCGAACCCGCGACTTATGAAGTGTGTATGCCGAAACCTCTATCGTTAAGCTACCCAGTAGCCGGATGCTACCCTTGCAGCTGCTCATGTGATACTAGACCTTCGCACAGACATACGGTTGCTGTAGGCACGGAACCTCTTGTCCTCCTGCTATGCGAGCGCTCCAGTGAAATTAAATCCATGTCCGAGAAAAGGGTGTTTTTCCATAAAACATATAAAGAAATAAAGCTTTTATTCTCGACAAGGCGAGGCACGCCTTTACAGGCATGATCATTTTGAAGAAACTATGCGTGATCAAGAATGTGCAAAAATCCGATATGTTTGCCATAACAGTGCATGTTTGTGCAGGGAGATTGTAAGTATGTAATTGTGTGCGCGTTTTTGTAGCTGTGTAGCTTGCGCTGGTAAATGTGCTGCTCCATTCTTGAATGTTTGCTATCGTCAGCAATGTGCGAGTAGAAGATTGATGTCCGTGGGTTGGAAAGGATTACCCAGATATCCACGGGGCAGTGACTTTATTTTGTGGTGAGCCACGACCGCCACGTCACAGTGTTGTTAAGCCGACATTTGTGGTTTTTTATAGGGAGAACGCTTACCAGGCGAAAACCCACCACGTCCTGGAACACTGCCGCCGAACAATTAGCTGGAACGGGTTAAACCCGAACCACCCAGCTGGCACCACGAGGAGGTTGTTAGGCTAGCCAGTACTACACAGGGCTTGCGGTCTTCGATAAATATAATCACGCAAGGTGGTTTATGTAAACAGTAAGTTATTCTTGGCTTGAGGAAGAAGTTGTGGCTTTGGAATAGCGAACCCTATTCTCCGTGTTGCCTTCATCCTAAATATTAACCAACTACGGTGATCAGTCACGGTGCATGGCCTAGGTCACTGTCAAGTAGTGAGGTGGTCAAGAGTTCGAACTCCTATAGCTTACAGAACGTTGCTAAGCTGGGAGAACACGCATGGTACAAGGAAGCGAACTCGAATATCTTGTTCTGATATAAGTGGACACTTGTCAGTATTGTATGCTCAAAAGTGTTGAAAAAGATCACGTCATGTCTGCTACAAACCCATAGAGAGGACCAGAGGTATGTTTGTAAGGCGGTTGGGATAAAGAGTAGTCTGTTTCTCAATATCTTGGAACATATTTGGAACCGATCGGGAATTCATCATTACAAAAAACTTGGTAAACGACCGGTTAATGTATTTATGATGATAGTCTGTTTCAAAGTGACCGCACTGATTTTGAACAAATTTATTAGAGAATTTGACTTTGCGCTTGAAGTTATGCCCCATGGCTCCGTGTGTTTTGCGGATGGCATTGGGATGATCAAAATCATTCTACATCCTGCATGTACGACGCACCACTAATGTTAATGAACATAGTACAATTAGCTTAACTTCATTATTTCAACAAGGTTACAACATGCGAACAGGTTGGGGTCTTCCTATACTAGTCGCAATCCTCCAGATCCACAGAATAATACAGACCGCTGACCAATTGTCAGCCCACTTCGGAGAGAAAAAGCTGGAGCTCCGTAAGGGGCCTGCTCAAGTGAGTTTGCAACATTTCCTCGGAAATACTTCATAAAGTGGTACGAAAGAATAAGGTTGAAAATACCAGACCAGTGAAGAACAGGAATGAGGTAACCCCGGGAAGGAATATGTTGGGAAAAGCGTTTGAAGGTGTAACCAAATGGGAAGGTGGACATTTCGTAAACGTCAGTGCAACTCCAGGTAATTGAAAGAATATGCTGATTTCCACACGGAATTCTAGTCCAATGAATAAAGAGTCACGGTGGGCATATTGCAACTACTGTGTTTGAAAATTGCCTCACTGGCGACGTGCCATAGTGCGCAGGAACATTTGTTGCAAAATAATGTAAATGACTGCAATAACTTTTCCCGAGGACTGGCAAGGCAGAATACAATTGTCCATATCCGAGAGAAACGCGGCTCAAACTGCGGTGTCTCTAAAAGGATGTGAGAGAATATCAACAGATTAGTTTTTAATTCATCCAAATGAGGGTTCATCGTGTAGATCATTCGGTGATGGGACCATCCAAATAAGTTCTATATAACCTTATTAAATCTCGGAAAAGGAAATAGCGAATAATGCCAGACAAACAAAAGACAGAACCTCCATACGAAACGCAGTACAGAGCACTCACGAACTGGCTGATATACATAATCACGTACTGTGTAAACATATCGTTGTTGGAGCATGACGCTTTCTAAGTGGTACCACTTCGGTTGTTTTCAACTTGTAAGCACCCTCATCCTGCCTGGCACTTTGGCAGTTATCGCAGCCTCTTGACTCGTCATTCTAACGAGCACAGTTAAATTCACCCCTCTGCTCAGTACAGCAGTGAACATCCAACCAGCGAGAATCAGACCTAGCCGACGGCAAAATCCATCTCAGTTGTGAGTCCAGTGACAACTAAGATTACTCATTAGGCAGCTCGGTATCACAGCTGTGGACATGGACATGCTGTTTACTAAGCTCGGATTCCACTTGACAACTACAAACCGGCGGTA